GAAGAATGCACCTTATTCGGAGTCCATAGTATGCATAATAATTTCTAGAGTTGGACCATAGACTTGGCGCCACACCACAACTCTTCAAAGATAGAAATGAAGTCATTCCTTTGACCAACTATCTCCTGTCCTGGTGTATTCACTTATTATATAGCCTCAAGCACCGCTTCACTATCATAAATTCCTGCGAAACGTCTGGAAATGACTGAAAATTATCATGCATACTACTGACTCCAACCATATTGCGTTCCCCTAAGTCTTCTTCTCAATATAGTGGCAGTTTTTCTTTAATTCTTGCCAATATGTTTGAATTGCGAAAACAGGGTTTATCAACTTCTTCCTAGAGCTTTCTACCGCAGTAGCTAATGTAAAATATTAGATATAAAGACCTGCATTTTTTGCGCTTCTGTAGTAGAAATTTTTAAGTATACTCAGCTTTAATTTTTTAACTATTTTAGAGCAATATTTAATTTGCATATTAATCCTTTATACCCTGAAAAAACTCTATTTTAACTCTTATCTGATCGGGATCTCCCCTTATATATCCGCTCTTCCTTATCTTGTTTACCCATAAGTTGCTTATGCTGATTTCGGCGTCAGCATACTTGAACTTCAATTAGCTCACATTTCTCGCATACTATAATTAGTACGCTTTGATTTCTCCTGGCAGCCTTCCTATTCCATGTGTACATCATAGCTTACTAGAGGGGTCTCCTTACTTACGTAGTCCTTTGATTTGGTCTTCTGATATTTTAATCAAGCATCTTACACTTGCATCTTCAATACCATCAAACTTACTTTTACTTTTTTTTCATATAAGTAGAGTTTCGAGACTACCAGTAAAGTAGTTATGAGATCTATTTACCCCATTTCGTTTAATGTGATAAAGGACGGGTAGTAGAATTTTACCACAATTATATGAGTAGAACTTACGTTTCCATTGAATTTTACAATTTAATGAAAAATAAGTAATGCAGTCGATTGTTATAGCAAAAATACGCTTGGTTATTTGACCATGTTTTCACAAATTGGTCATATTGGTAGGAAGACTTAGAGGAACGCACATAGTCCGGAATCCATTATATGCATAATAATTTCCCAAATCGGACCGTGGACGCTGCGAAAATAATGTCATACAACTTCTATACACTGAAAGGAGACTGCGACCACACAAAAGGCCACACCATCTTGGTCTTAAGGCGTTCGAAAAATAAGTTTCTTTCTTTGGACATCCCACCAAAGAATGAGATATGGGAAAGGCCTGGTTTTCCTTGAAATTCACATCTGTCCTGTGACCTAAGGGAGTTCGTGGCAACCTGGCCGAGTGTCAACGTGTCAAGCTCACATGCTCCACTGTCGCGGTTCGACTCCTGCCGGGGGTGTTGATAAGACCTATGCGAGGTCGAAACTGCAGTCCAACTTGGATTAGAACCACTTTTGGGAAAACAAGGCTATGTGAAATTCAATGGAAACTTTAGCTCTACTTATATCATTGTGGTAAAATTATAATACCATCACCTTAAGCGAAATTGGGTGAATACATCTCATATTAATTTTACTTTGTCAATTGATTTATCTCAACCTTTTTGCGTAAGTGCTTTTGGAGAGTAAGCTTGTGTCGTTAAGCCAACTTTACATTGCGAGGGAACTTTAGAGTTAGAATGATTTATAAACGCAGTAGGGATCTATTCAGCTGAACTTGCCAGATAAGTTCATAGCATAAAATGACCAATTTTCCAAACAAAACCTTTCGAATGAATGTTAGCCACTAACAGATGCTTTGTTTGTTGAAGACTGGGGAAGTCCTGATAGACTTTCTAATTTGTGTTGCTATAACGGTTACTTTATTTTTTAACTGAAAAATAGTTCTTTACATGATATTTTTATAAATTTACTTTTAATCACGAGTAGCATTTTATGCCCAAGCCTTGGTAGACATATCAAAATTTGTTAAGACTTTCTATGAAACGCATGGCAAAATCTCAAGCAAATTTTTTAATGCATGACGCTTCACAACATTTACTGAAAAGAATGGGCATAAATTTGCCTTCCAATATTTATCCAATATGTCCAAGGGCTTACATAAACGGCGTTAAGTGACGCTGTTCTGTCGAATATACAAATTTTTCTATCCAGATTAGTTTGAAAATATAAGCAGGTCCCGCGTATTTAGTTAGCTGCCACATGCTTGATGTTAATTACTAACATATAATTCCTTTACGACATTTCCATGCTCTTTGTAAGAGCTTATTGCCAGTGTTAATTCCCATTAGCCTGTTTATCTTTTTCATGTATACAATGTTATACTAGGTAAAGGCAATTATTTTAATAGTTTTATGATAAAATCGAAATTAAGCGGTATGGAACTAGGGTCAGCAGCCCATAACTTCTCGATTTTATTTTTGTTTGTGCAGATCATTCTTAATGAAGTATTACTGAACCGGGTCATAATTGATGCAGTTGATGCCAAAAAACTGCCTAATTTCAATGCTCCGCTTGCTTGTTATTTTCCAGCTGATTAATTTTAATTTTTGTCTCTTTCTTTTTCATCCTCAGTATTAAAGGCTATACTCTGGCTTTGCTGTCGCGTGTTCGGCTCCAGTATAACCGTTAGTGCTCTGATGCTGGATCAGGGGAATGATGTACTAAGTAACTCAGCTTCTCTTATCTTCTCTACAGTTTCCTCGGCATTCCGTAAGTGAGCATATACAGGTATATTTCTGCGATTTTATAAAAGTAGTTATTCAAATCCAATCCAATCGGATCCTTCACAATTTGACTACTAATGCCATACAACCACTTTTACTACATTATGTTCTTGCTAACTAAGGCCAAAAAAGTAGGCTTACAACTTCATGAATAAAAAGTGATAGCTAATGGTGGCAGAGAGTCATTTCCTATCTCATTCCTTTTATTTATTCGTTAGACTTTAAACGATCAGGAATTTACACTTGAGTAAGAAGGGTTTTGAATGGGCAGCTGGATTATGCCACTAGATAGTTGGGCTGCGTGTGTCAAGACTATATCTAAACCGAATTTTAGCCAATAACTTTGCATATCCTAATAAAAGTTTTTTGTGTGAATCTCTTGATCTACAATTACTTACATTTTTATGGAAATTATGTGTTTAATAGTGTGTGCAGAGAAGACTACCGCTAATTCCTATTGGCAAACTTTAGTTTGACTAGTGAATTTTATTGACACGTTGGCTTGAGTTATTTGTAAAAATGGTATTCAGCTCTGATGTTGTCTGTAATACTTAAGTTCGAGCTTTAACACTTCCACCAGAGCTGAAGCAAGTTATGTAGTTTCCCCTAATGGATTCAATGTTGCTTATTTCTATCATCACTTTTTATTTTCCGATTTTGCAGATCAGGTTATTACAAAGTTTTGTGCTGATGCTCTAGCGTTTATATAGTGTAGATATGCGGACAAACATAAGA